AGTAATTTCTTACCTTAAACAAGTCCTACACCACCAAAAGACCTATCTTCAAGCTTTAAATCAACCAACACAATCTCAATTTTGTCTGTTGATGAACAATAGTCGAAATGGGAGAATGGAGAGATCTCTTGAACCAAGGCTTCCCATTACTCCTAAGACACTAAGCTTCAATTTTCATGACAAGTATTTGGTGATTAAATGGCTAGAAAATGAAGAGAAAAAGCTTGAGCATTCTTCCATGGCGGTTGGGTTTGCCAGCCATAGGGGAGGGGGAAAAATAGGTGAAAATGGATTTCAAATGAATATTAAGTCACTTTACTTAAAATGTTGACTTTGACCCTCGATTTTTCCAAAATTGATAAGTATTCCTTCTATTTCTTTTTTTAGCTTGATTTCTTAACTTATCCAACTTAAATAATATCCTTTCCACATCACTAAATTCTCTAAATAATCATATTAGGATATCATAATTGAATTTAGGCTAATTTTTATATAATTACAATTTGGTTCCTAAACTTTACCAAGCCCTATGACAAGGCTTAATCAAATGCATAGCAATAGGGTCTTGCCTCCTTTATAAGTAAAAGCCATTGATTTAATTTTAATTTAACATTAGTTTATAGTTTAAATAAAAAGTTTGTATTTTAAAATCATGTCTGCAGTGATATACATATGATTTTTATAGGTTACAAACGGATTTCAAACAAGCCCATCAAATATAAATGCTAATGGGAGAGCTGGGATAAAAGCTCAAACTACAATCCATGATACTAAAACACATTATATGTTATCAAAAAAAAAAAAAAAAACACATTATAAACTTTGGGAAAAAAATAAAATAAAAAAGAAACTAATAGTCCTTGTGGAGCACTTCCATTCTTTCAACACCGATTACTCAACCAATCAGAATATTAAAGAGACTACCATACCCTAATCCAACCAGCTTATCGTTCAATTTTTTAACATTGAGAGGACTTTATTGACAATCATTTCCTTCATACAATGACTTTCTTAGCCTTTTTTCCATCACCCATTTCAGGCAATTCTTCTCGAGAATCATCTTTCTCTCTCTTTGCTTTGTGCTTTCTTTCTTTGTGCTCTGCCTTGCCATCACAACCTTCACGTATACCATCTGCAACCCCACTTGACTCCACTGATTCTCCATTTTCTTTAGCCTTGGTTTTCAGTGACTCAATCACACCCTTCACATCTATATCAACCTGCCACACAAACACACCCCCAGACCAAATTTAGTAATAGTTCTAAGTTGTGTTCTTGTCGCTAAGGAAATCATAATAGCAACATCCAAGATATCCAGAGCAAAACGTGACACACCTGAAGATTCTGGTGATAATCAGAATTGTCGGAACATTTCATCTTGGAATTCAGAGCTATAACAACAATAAAAAATAAAAATTACATGGGGAATAAAATGGATAATTTATGTAATTTTCCACGATCCTGAGGTGAACTTTGACCCACACACAAAAAAAAATTAAAAAGATAAAGCCGGGTCCTTAACAAAAAAAATATTGTACTCACTTTTTTCCTTACAAAAAAAAATACTCATATTACTTCTTTTTTAGGGATTAAATCAGATCTTCGTTGAATTTCTAAGGGATTACATTTTCAAAGAACCAGAATTTTAGAGGGACCAAAAGTTGATTTTTTATTTTTTTTTGTAAGATACGAAAGTGGGTATCATATTTTTTGTTAGTGACCCAAAAACGACTTTACTAAAAAAAAAACAATCATATTTTATAATAAACTCATATCATATAATGTGTTTAATATGCAATGTTATCTAATTATGTCTTTCACATTCATATACAATATACAAGATTTAAATTTTGGATTATAGTAATTACATTTTTGTAAGGCCCAAAGCAACAAGGCAGCTGCAGAGTTCTCTGCGAGTTTCAACCGAGATTTTTCATCCCCTAACGTTTGGAGTATACCATCTACCGTCGTTATCTGAACAGAGCAGACATATTTCTTATCTTGAGGAGAACCTTCATCTTTCACAACGCTGTGAACCATTGCAGAGGAGTAACTAGTTAGTTTACAATGAGTATCAAAAGCTTTGACATATGAAACATACTGAGAGAACAAATTAAATTTAAATTGGATGATTCATTAGCTAGTAATAAAAAATTTGCATCACTAGCATATACTAAATTCAATACCTAATAATACATCAACCAAATCTGCACAATAAATGCCCACAAGAATGCTTGTGATCTTGCACACAGACTGGCACTAACACCCAAACATGCTTTCCATTAATTGAAGAAAAAAAATTTAAGGATTTGGACAAGATTATTTTAACCTGGTTTTTAATTGGGTAAAACAAGAGTAAAATGAAACCCTTTTAACTAAAAATGTGAACAAAATATGTAAGTCGAATCCAAGAGTTGTTGAACTACTGGCATTCCGATTAAACCCAAGAGTTGTTGATTTAGTGGAGATCCACTTAGACCCAAGATTTAACCTACCTAAAAGTAGTGGATTCAATTTATGAGAATTGCAACTATTAAGGAAAGTGAAGAAACTCAATTTCAAAATCGAATTAGATGGGCCCGTTAGGACTTGGGACACTGCTTGGTATACAAAATACATAAGTTGAGAACTATGAGGTGATCTCTTGATTATTAGTAAAGATATAAGTAAACGAAAACAAAAGAATAATGTATACCCTTAATGACATATAATACCCCATCTATATATAATTTCTATTTTTGACACACCCACCCCCCAAATTATACTTTCAAATTTCGCTACCAGAGAAAAGCATAAGACTGAGACAATGTACTTTTATATAAATAAATCAGTACAGTAAATGAATGTTATTCTTTCAATATGTCATTCCAAAATAATAGCAGTAGATTTCTGGCTAGTAGTGGTTACCTGTATACTGGGTTAGGCCATCTTTTTATTGCACAAAGCTCGTGTAACTTTTGTTTGGCTTGTTTAATCTCAAAGGTACTATCAATGCAAGCAAAAAAATCGAGAATCTTAGTTCCAATAGGCATTATATTTGCTAGTTTATGCAAGGCAATCTTGGCAGCGTCAAGCCTTGCAATGTCCCTCTGCTCAGAGGAAGCGGATGCAACAAATTCTCCATCAACGAAGACTCTAGCAATGCTTTTTTCACCCTTCCTTCGGTGCTTGATGTCTATCAGTTTCCCTTTCTTTTGGCACAAGTCGAAGAGCATTGTCACTGGTTGAGGTTGTTGCTCCAGATCATCTAGCGTCGCTATGGGCTCCATAAGACGTTTAATTATCTGCCAACAATAAATTGTTCCTCAGACACATTACACACATACAAATCATGATAATTGATAAAAGGCCAAATCCCCAGAGAGAGAGGGTTGGAAATGGGATGGGATGGATTGACTGGTCTTTTAAAAATAGATTGAAAATATAAATCAATCTCATTTTATGATGTGTTGATGGATCAATCCGTCTAAAAATTAAATTTTTAAAAATAAATATTGTTTTATAAACTTTATAATGCTATTTAATTCAATTTAACATTGTCATTAATTTTTTCAATCCTAAATCCAGTGGCAGAGTCAGTGCAAAAAATCAGCCTGGACGTTTTTGGGATGCCCCTAATAACTAACGAATAACGAATGACAAGTGTTTTTTCTTGTTTGGATCCTAAGTAAATATTTCGTAGTAGCCTCCTTAGACCGCACATCTTTTTTGGTATATCCAGATAGTAGATAGGAGCATAAACTGAAACATTCTTGAGCTACAAAGATGGTTATTAAATCGTTAGCGCCGCATAAAAACATTCCTCCTAGAGTAGCTGTTAATACAAATAACATAAACTCTGTTATAGCCATTTCTGTACATTCAATGTACTCTACAAATAGAGAAATACATAGAGTTGAACATAGTACAATAAGATATTGAAAGATTTAACTATGGAGAAAGCTAGTGCCAAAAGTCAGCAACTATGAAGGAAGAAAATCATTGATCGTTACTCAAGATAAAACAAAAAAAAACTTCTGATTTTGGAAACTAGCCAAGGCACTTACTGATCTCAACGTGGCTACGCTACTGCCTAAGTCTAAATATATGCTAATATTGTTTGACGATATCTAAAAACTTATTTTTGATTCCATATTTGGATAACATTTATTATAAATAAAGTATTTTCTTCTTTATATTTTGTAGAGGAATACTAAGATAAAGATTTTAGATATCACATTAGTTTCAAATAAAATACTACTTGATATTAAGTAAAAAGGAAAAATTGACCTAACGAATTAACCGATCCAACTATGGGTTCAACCTATTTTGACATGTCTTTACATGGTTAGGTTCAAACTAGTTGGGAATATCAACCAACCCGCTCATCATCTGCAGCAAGTTAAACAGATCAATCCATTGGATTTGTAGTGAGGATAAAGGTGAGTGTTGATTATACAATCTTATGTTTGTAGTTGTACAAAGAAATTATTTTCCAATGACCTTCTAATCACAAGAAGTCCCTCTTTACAAACTAATTATGATCATTATTAATTAATAAATACAGAAAATGCATATTTTTCTTAAGAAATAATAAAAACAAGAACATACCTTCCAAAATTTTTTATATTTAAATTTAACATCGATTAAAACAGCACCCACTATAGATTCAACAATGTCGGCAAGAATCTTGGGAGCTTTAACCGAACCACCATAGGAAATAGAGTCATCCTTTTCACCTACAACTTCCACAAACTCATCTACCTTGTCAAAAAGATAAGGGGCTTTATGACGGATGCAGCGGTGGAAGCCATGGCGAATGGCCAAACGAGCTAGCTTCTCCGTGCTGACGTTAGCAGCACGGAGAAGAGAGAGTTGGCCAGGTTCAATGTTGGGATAAGTGAGAAACAAGTGATTGCCCATAGAAAAGCCCAAAGCACTATCACCTATGAACTCAAGGCGCTCATAGCAGACAGCATTCGGGAACGAGGAGTGGGTCAGGGCTTGTTCTATAAGCTTCTTGTTCTTGAACCTATGTCCGATTATGTTCTCCACCTCATGCACCAACTTTTCCATCTTCGAATTTGGAGTGCAAGGAGAAAAGCATGACAAGAAGGTGTGATGTTCCTATTATATTGATGAGTATATTGTTTCTAATAAATAATGTTCCAATAATTAAATGTCGTCCATGTGCATCTTCTTCCACAAAAGTTCTCTAAAAATTAATAAAAATAAAGCATGCAATTTTTAAACGCATGGCAATGTGTTGTAAAGAATCCATTTTACTCAGAACTGAAAGCTAACATGCCTCGTGCTAAAACTCTTTATTGGACATTGCTATCATACACTTATGCTAAATTTACGAATCCAGAATTTTTTTTTTACGTGTGTATATTTAATCCGAACATTTAGTGGAGGGGTTTGGGGCAATGCCTTCTGAAAAAAAAATTAAACAAAGTTTTAAATGTATTAAAAATAAAAGAATATAAACAAAAAAGAATTTATATCTCTTATATTACATGAACCAAATTTTTTGTCGTGTTAAGAAAAAAGACAAGGCTAATCCATTGAATATGTACCATCTCACTTTCTTTAATATTATATAACTTGTTTTTTTCTTAACATGACAAAAAATTTCGTTCACATAATCTGAGGGATATAATCCTCTAACAACAAAAGAAAAGAAAATTTCGACTTAAGATAAAAAAAAAATCAAATTAATGATATAAAATCACTAAAACATAAACAGTAAATAAGATGTATTTCTTTTTTAGTATTTGTGTTTGTATTCCTAACAATGCAACTACTAAAATGGCTCCTTGAGTGACATTCTTAATTAATTAAAAAATATATCTCTTCAGCATACAAAAATATATATATATCTCTCTTCTTTACTAAAAAAATGTATAACCAAATTTATGTATGCACTTGCACATATTGACAGCCAAATAGCTCCACCAATGTGTGGGAGTATATACTCTTGAATCACAGAAGCTGGATATTATATAAAAAGAAGTAAAGAAAATATAACAATATTAATAAAAAGAAAAAAAAAATTCTTGAGTTTATGAAATTTTTTGAGTAAGAGTGGATAATATTTTTGGGTTTTGCTTTTACTTCAACCCCAGCCCAAAAATTGAGGTACGTTGATTGTGTTCTGGTTTTTTTATTTTTAAAATTGTTATGTATAATAGTTATGAAAATAGTTATGTTCTATTTTTTTTTTGTTTTTTCTAAATTTGATTCTAAAAATAAAAAAATAGTTACTGTTTTATAAGTTTTTTTTTTATAAAATAGGCTTTACCAAATGAGTTTTTTTCTGAAAATTAAAAAATTATTTTTAAAAATTGATTTCAAACTAGTTTAGATTTTTTAAACCCTCTAAAATATTAACAATAAATTTTATTTGTAATTTTTGTTTTGTTGAGTTGCTAGAAGAAGTTAGTATTGTGCTCGCTAAAAAAACAACAAACATATAAAGAAATGAATTTTATTAATCTCATCTAATAGGAGAGAAGCTCTCTCATACTATATAGATAATTATGTGTAAGATCCATCTATTATAGGAGAAAGAAAAAGGTATACAAAAATTGGTATATGTGTAAGAGAGAAAAACACTCTTCTACAAATGTAAGAGTATATTTTTTCTAAAAAAATTGTGCATGGAAACATAAATCTCAAGAAATATTTTTTAGGGGTATTTGATAGAGGAAGGTGTTTGATATTTTCTTTATCTGGGAATTACAAATTTCGAAAATATAGTGGGAAATAGATTTTTATTGTTACTAAAAAATTGTTTGGTGAGCCTATATTTTTTTCAAAATTATTTGATTAATTTTATTAAATTTGTGTTTGATTGATTGTGAAATATTAATAGGAATAGGAAAATTATTTTAGAACGATACCTTCGATTTTAATAATTGTGTCTCTCTCTCAAATCGATTTTTAGACTTGTTCTCCTGTGGGTGTGTTAATTTCCCCTCATCTCTTTCTTTTTTGTATCTGATAGGGTTGTTATCCATCCATCTCTGGCTCTCAGCAGCTCCTTTCATTGTAGCTGGCGTCGATGCTGTAACCGTTGGGGTTTATCTCCTTCGAAAATCTCCGGTTCGTGTTATTGAGGCAAGTATCCGGTTGCTGTAGCTGGCGTCGCTGCTGTAGCTGAAAAAGTTCTTCCATTTTGATAGGGTTACAATATCCACAGTTTAGCAATCTCGTTGCGGTGACGGTCCACAAATATCGTATGTTGTAGTCAATTTCCTGTCCATAATTTTCAATGTTATACTTTAAAATGGAGGGTTAATCAGTTTAAATGTTTGTCAATTGTTTTTTATATTTTTTAGTTTCAGTTTGAGCAACATGATTTATACTATTAATAAATAATGCTGGAGCTTGTAGGTTGTATAGTGAACATTGTGACCGCAAGAGATTCATCCAGAGAAGGCAGGAAAGAGCTGTAGGCTACATACCTCAGGATCAAAGATTCAAAACTTATTAAGTTATTATCAAATCTCCTTAGTCCTAATCTAACTTTCTAATTTTGACTTGTATATGAACTTGGAAGTTTTCCGCTGCTATACATTGGACTTAATTTATGAACCACTTTTTCCAACCTGAGTGTGTTATTTGGGTTGTTAGATGATTGAGATTACAAATAACTGAACTTCAAACTCAAGAAAAAGGCAGATAGAATTTTAGGTAATTATTTTATTTTTTGTGTATGTTCTCCTTGGGTGTACATGTTTTCCATTTCCTTGGGAACTTAAGTTGGTTGTGTTAATTGCATCAATATGTCATCTTGTAAGTTTAATTTGTTTATATTTTTTCTATCAGTCCAAATCCACATACAGGCTACATTGTTTTTAAAAGAAAACTATGCAGACCCCATTGTTTTGAAAGTGTCAGGCCGAAGGTGATATTCTATTTTGATTGTGGAAATCATGACATGGAGCAAATTAACCTCAACAGTTTCATCAGTAATATGTAACATAATAGAATAACCATCTTCATTCTTTTAATATGTGGTGTGTAATTTTATCTACTGCACTTCTTGAGTATGATTTGAGATGGCATTAAATAAACATATTAGAATTGTGTGACCACAGTGAATGCTGTGCTATTTCTATATTACAAGGAATATAAAATAAGAAGCATGTGGTGGTTTAGCCAAATTGCTGGACAAAAACTGATTTCCCCAGTATCTTGATATGCAAAGACTATATTGACAATATGTTTATTGAGTCCCTTTCGAGGGCCTTGTGCAACTGCAATGCATGAAGCTATCTGCTAGAGTTTTGCACCAAATTCAGTGGCTTATTTTATTAGGCACAGTAAATGAAGCACAATCTGAATTTCATAGTTGATTATTTCAATTAAATTTTGCTTTGATTTTATTGTTGTTTTGCTTATCAGTTAGTGGCCTTAACTTCAATAATTTATAACCTATTAAACCCTAAACTTGTTACATTGGATATTGTCCCTGAAGTGGCATATACTCATGTTTATTCATGTATTTGGATCAGAATTGGTCAAGAGATCCTGATGGAAGATAACTTGCCCGATGATGAGATAGAAATTGATTTGTCTCCTATAGCTGTACAATTGGCCTATGTCCAGCAGGTAAAAGTTCTGATTTCTCAAAATTTATTTCTCCTTCAACTGAATATTACTTTTTTTAAGTGCCAGAAATATTAATTAATCATAGATGAACAGCTTCTTGGGCATAAGCAAGATGCTATTGAAGCTTATACAGATATTATTAAACGAGATATGGCTAATGAATAATCAATTGCAGTGGCAGTGAACAATCTTGTTTCACTGAAAGGTACAAAAGATGCTTCTGATAGCCTAAGGAAACTTGATTGGCTAAAAGAGAAAGAGACGCAGAACTTTCGGCTAGCTCGTGGACTGGATTTGAAACTTTCAGCAAAGGAAAGGGAGAAAGAGAAAGCTAAGGAAAGGAGAAAGAGAAAGCCAAGGTATCCTAAAGGGTTTGACCCTGCAAAACCAGGTCCTCCCCCAGATCCAGAGAGGTGGCTTCCCAAGCGGGAGAGATCAACTTATAGGCCTAAGAGGAAGGACAAAAGAGCTGCTCAGGTGAGAGGTTCTCAGGGTGCTGTAGTTAGAGAAAAGCACGGTGCTGTTGCCTTTTCCAGCAATTCAAATCCTAAATCAAACCAGTCAACTGCCTCCAAAGGAGCTACGCAGAATGCAGTTTGAGCAAAGCAAGCCTTCATCATCCAAGTCGAGAAAGAAGTCTTTGAATTGACCAGGTTTTATGGTAATTTTATTAACATTTTTTATTCCAGAAAACTTGTTAATGCTGCTTTCAGTGACTAAGCCAAGGTTCCATCTACAATTTGTGGGTTCAATTTCAAAACCGTCTGTTTTGGTTCTAGCTAATGAGTATGTCTGTTAGATGCAAGTGTTGTGCAAGTTTGTCATGCTTAATTTATAAGTTTTGGAGATTCATGGAAATTTGGCTGTGGTCTTTTCTAATTGGTCAAGTATATTTATTATAGTTGTTAAATTTTTTTATATTTATTATCTAACTGTATTGATACTGATAAATCATCGACGAATTCTGACTATTACAAATCGTTATTGAAAAGTTTAAATTTTTTAGTCATGGATTAATGCACCTCGGGATCATACTGTATCAATAGTGTATCAAATTTATCTCTTCGTAATACATCTTTAGACACATCGCTATCAACTTATATTTTTGGTCATGTGTTTCTTAGAAAGAACAACTTGAAAATAGAAATACCTCTTGCAGCTAGAGACATTGACTTAGGTAAGGGCCAAATCTTTCAACTTGCAGTCCATTCTTGAGCTTAATTTCACTGCTTCCTGCTTTTTTTTTTTTTTTTAAAAGGAAAAAAAAAGCTGGGCAGTTCACATCTATGATTCTATCTGGCATTAATTGTGACTTGACCGTAAATTGCGTGTTTCAAAAATCTTGTTCAAGCTAGCTCCTCTAATCATTGTTGTAAAGCTGCAAGCTAGGTAATTGTTGTCGTCACAGATTAGCGAGATATTTCTTTGTCTGTGAGATCTGTAAATTTGTACTCAGTCTAGATGGTATCAGAGTATATAAGTTATGCACTGTCATTAGCCAAAATAATAGAATTTTTTGACCTTGTGAATATTATCTGTCTAATAGTGTGAGTCAGTAAATTTATATCTCAGCTCACTGATTTTGCTCACCCACAATATCTATTTATAACCTTCTCACACAGCATTATTTTGTCATTCTTCCTAAGCTGGCAAATCCTTTTAATTCTGCAGGTGCTACCAATGAGAAACAACCATAGTCAAATCCAGAGATAGGTTCTACATCTCAATGGGGACGCAAGAGGAAGGGTCTTGCAAACCACCTGCAGAGGAAGACTAACACTGCAAAGTAACATAGTTGCTGTACCTGATAAGCTTGCAGATGTTGTATCAGTGATTTGCTGATAAATTATAATGTAAGAAGAATCTGAAGGCAACACCTGTTGGGGGATAATGAAGCATCTCCACTTTGTCACATTTGTGGAAGAGGATCTTAATAGCTGTGTCATTCATTTAACTAGTAGGGATCTGATAAGTTTATACATAGGGCTGAATGTGTCCAAGAAGAGTAGTATGCTGTATAGGAATTTCCTTGTGTACTTTGATCTTTGATTACACTTTGTTCATAGTCATGTACCATTCTGATGTGTAACTTATGAAGCAACTAAATATATTTCAGTGATTCAATTAATATGAAGCAATTATGGTGTTCATTATATTCAATCAGAGATTTCCTTTTGATTCCGAGCCTTTAATTATTCCAATGCTGAAGTCATATTTCATGTGTGAACGAAACAGGTGCAGAACACAATATTGGATAATTTCATAATTCACAACCATCTTAATTGTAATAGTTCATACATTGCAAGAGTTATACAGATAACAAAGACTTAAAATACTATCAAAATACATTCACAGGACCAATGAATGGCTGTACCATTAATTCAATATAACAGATATACATATATGCCAAATGGCCCTGATGCAGGGTTCTGTTTCGGTTAGTTTGTATCTCTAGCAGTCATGTATGTGCTTTGTTTCTTTCAATCCATATTCTCCTCTATCTTTGCTGCAGATCAACCACAAAAATCCGATCTCACCACAAAACAGCTTCACTTGGCCTTGACAGCAAATGTTTTATAATCACTCTATCAGCTGCACTTTCAACATACCTGTTGCCATATAAGACAGTCAGATAAAAACAATAACATATCACATCTGTGTTGGACAACAATTTAAACAGCAACAAATATATACGGAGGAACTACCTTATATGAAGTCTTTTTCTGAGCAAGTGTAAGTAGAACTAAGATATTGAGAAAAAGACTATTGACCAACATAAATTAAAAAGAACATACCCGTTGCCACCTTTTGTTGGTACCACTTACCATACATATCAGAATATAAGCATGTACCAACTCCAAAATTGCAATACTGCAATGCCTGTCCTCATGACTCCAAAGCTTTTATATATATCCACTTAGCCAGACTTCCAAAAACTTACCATGTAAAATCATGGCATATGATGTCTATTACATCATTCTGCATGAAAAAAACGTACAATGACACAAGTCTTTTAATTTGCAACAAAGACAACATAAAGTACTTAACAACATCAATAATGATAGCATAAATAACTGCATCAAACATTATTCCTCCACCATTTCATCCCTCCAATGTGTCCAGGCTTTAGATGACTCCACATGACTTATCATTTCATGTCCTTGAAAATTATCTTCAGGTACTGCCATGTCCCCCATATTATCCTCTAAAGGGTCAATTGGCATTTCTCTTCTAATATGATTATGGAGCAAGCAGCATGCAGTGATTATCCTGCAATGCGTTTTAACTGGATAAAAGGACTTTGACCTTACAATCGCCCAACGGCCCTTCAACATCTCAAAACATCGTTCAAGGACATTCCTAGCACCTGAGTGTTTCATGTTAAAAAATTCTTGCGGTGTCGTTGGCTGTGCCCCATGTCTCCACTCACTAAGATGGTATCTTTGCCCTTTATAAGGTGTAAGGAATCCTTCCTCATTCATGTAACCAGCATCGCACATATAATAGTAACCTCCAAAAATTTAACAAAGGAATTAGAAACATGGTAATACAGGTGGTTACATGTCATTATTTTGGTAATTTGAACTATTTTTCTTGTTAAATAACCTTTTGGCACCCTTAATCCGTTCGTACGAGATATAGCATCTTTGAGGACCTTTGAATCTGCAGCCGATCCCTCCCATCCAGGCAAAACATAAATAAATTGGGCATCTTGCGAACAAACACCCAACACGTTTGTTGCTATCTCACCCTTCCTAGTCCGATATCTAGGCTTATAAGCTTGTAGGGGATTTACCTTGATGTGGGTCCCATCTAGAGCTCCTAGGCAATTCTGTCATTCCAAAGCACCAAATTAGAACACAAGTCAGTATAATATGCACAACAAATTTTAAAATTATAAAGATTGCTTGATCTATTGTAGTATGATACCTTGAACCATTTCCACTTGTCATCGGTTGAGTTTTCGAGGACGGGCTCAAGGCGTTTGAGTAGAACAGTATGACATCTTAACACAGCCTGCAACACCTTTGTGAACTGTCTGCTTATAGTTTGATCAGACCTCATAAACTGTCTTTTAATTATCCGATTTTTAACATCGTGAGACAATATGTAAAGAAAGATTGCAACCACCTCTTCTACACCCATATGCTTGGACGGTTCAAGCATCCCAACAGTTTTAAGTAAGTCACACAATTTATGAAAACTTCTCCGATCCATCCTTGTATTCTCAATACAAGTTGTATCAGTGATATACACTATTCTATGCATATTAACTTCCCTTATCGAAGCCCTACTGCAAAAATCCCACGTCCCTCTCTTCCTCATAGCTTTCCTTTTTTCAATGTTGGCTAATAATAAACCACATATTCTCACAAATAACATAGTCAATTGATTCAAAGACTGCAAATGACTCATGAGAACAACAATGACACTTAACTCCACTCCGTTGTTCATTGTCACAATCTAACACCACAAGGTCAAATTAATTCACATTAATCCAAATATCAACAACGTACAAAATCAGAACAAAATGAAGAAACATAATATGTAGAAGAGCAATAGAAACAGAAACACAAACCCCAGTCATTACTCAGTTTCTTTGTCTGGATTGTACACATTAAACAAAAATATGATTCCATGAAACAATGTACACAATTACAGGATGACAAGCAAGAACATAAACAGTTGAGAGTAAAAGGAAAACAAAAACACGTTTAAATACAATCCCCTAATCTGATTAAAATAAATGACACTTTGGTTGGAGCAATGCAATCCATTCCAACATAATTCCAAACAACAACAAAGAACACGAGCACTTGCACCCAAACCATAACCATACAAAGAACAGGGCAGTTCTACAGGAATAGGTTACAATAAACATTTAAATAAATTCTTTAAAAAATTCACATTTGGTTTCTCTCATACATTATGAGGTACGTGACTTATACGTAGATGAAGTACACAATATTTAACTTCACATATAAGAAGTAATACAAAGCAAATCAAGTTAACATAACAATGTTTGAAATTCCTCCAAGGTTTGTGATGGACAGTAATACCAACCTAGGTATTCCCCCCCGCTAGGTTCCCCGTAGCAACCTCCTCTCTTGTCATATGTGTCAGCCTATAAAGTGCAGATCTGTTTTTGCTTTCCTAATATTGCAAACACACAAGTACAGATCTGCACATAACAATACCTCATCTCCGTTCTTGCTTGTCGTGCTATGTATTCTACTTTTCTATGATCTAATTAAAAGAGTACGGCTTGAAGATCAATTTACGGTATAACAAAACCATTTCTCTCATGCATTTTTATTAACATTACATTATGTTTCAAGTTGCTTTGCCATAAGAGAGCATTCTAACTTTGAAGTCATTGGACTCAATTGTATTGTTTTGGCTAATTCAACTGTGGAATTGAATGCTTCCTGTGTTTCTGCATTGCACTGCTAAAATATCAACAATGCCTTGAAAACAAAAATTCCAATGAGCAAAAGGAGGACAAAAAAAAAAAATGTCAAAATTCCACTTGCACTGTCAAAGATTCCCCCCCCCCCCCCCCCCCCCCCTCTTCTTTAGGGAAATTTCAAATGGAAACATACCAGCAAATATTCTCCTCGGTATTCTGTATTGGATGGAGCATTATGTATATTCGTGAGAAAGAAAACTGAAGCACACATAGATTTTAGAGAAAAAAACAAAACCAAAACAGCACCACAAATTGGCCCACATTTGGGTAGTAAACACACAACAGAAGGTAAGTAAACCTATGTGGTGACATAGCAAGTCAGATTTTTTACCCGATGTTCCACAGCTTGCACCACGAATACGGAGATAACAAAAACAGTGGCCGTTCCACAGCTTCGACAACTTCTACTTGGGTTTATGAAAGCGTAAATCACCTGTCATTACAAAAAAAAAACCCACAAACCATATGCACCACTAAGACCAACATATACGATAGCCCCAAAACGAAATGATGAACTGGAATGGAATGCAAAATGGAAAGCTTGTCTTGTTAAAATATGGACATGGTTAACATGCAAAAATGCTCGACCGACTGGTACCATACAAGGTGCACATGCAAGCCTCATACAACGATGATAAGCAAGAAAATCGAAAACCAAAGCAACCTGCAAGCTTTGACGGAGGGAGCAGCTGCGTTAGGTTTTGGTACCAGATATTTGCGAACACAACTTCAACAATTATACAAAGCGGAGGATTAATCTCGTCCATAGTTGTTTATTTCTTACTTACCCGGGCAAGCTATTTTTCCAAGTAAATCATGGAGTTTGAATACTGGTATCCGTACTTCAGTTTGCACACGATACAGAAATCCGGGAGAAAAAAAATTGACGGGAAACTTTTTATTTTTTGGGCAATCAAAAGTGGGTTTCCTGTTTTTTCTATCATGCTTTCTGGGGACAGTTTAGTACATGGATTTTTTTTTTCAGATTCTTGAAAAATCGAAATTTTTAAAATTTTAAATTTTTATATATTATCGTAAACTGAATGTAAAAAGGGTTCGTTTGCTCTGTAGTTACTGCAGATAAGTTATCTGCAGTACGTCAATACGATGTCGTTTTGGGACGGAAATCATGGTGTTTTTGTAATTTTATTTTATTTTAGAGTTATACTAGTCTTTATATTTATAAATTTTTAAGATTTTAATACCAAAACGACGTCGTTTTGGGAATAAATGCAGATAATTTTTCTGCATTAACTGCGGAAACATTTTTCCCATGTAAAAATTATATTTTTGAAAATCGAAATTTACGGACAAATAAAAATTTCTCCTATACCAAACGCACCCTAGGATATTCATAAATAATCTGCGTACCAAACACTACATGAGTTGAGGTGTGTTTGGTACAAATTTTTGTTGAAGATACCTAAGTAAATAGAAGTGGTATTTTTATATATCCATGTTTGATAACAGGTTTTAAAAAACTTTGCTAGGCAAATTATTTACTTAGCATTTGCATTTTGTGTGTACAAAACACTGTTGAATAAGATCACCTACAAGGTAGTATTGGTTGATAGATGGAAAAATCCAAAAAGGACAGCAAGTAAGAAAAACAAAATGACCCTAATGTTGAGGAAAACTATTCGGCAAACTTAAAATCATATTTTCCCATC